GGTGGGTGGGGCAGATGGGAGCGGAGCAGGCAGTGTTCGGCTGGAGGGTTCTCCGCCCCGCGCGCTGGTGCGTTCTCTCCCCGCCGCCAGTCTCCTTATCGCCGCCTCGCGTCTTTTCCAGCCCGTGCTCCGCGGCCCGGAGGGGACGCGGTCGAGCGTGAGGTATACTCGCCTCCTCTCAAAAGGCGCCACCCCGCACAATGAACTCCGCCACGAAACAGTCCAACAAAAATGGAGACTCTGAGCCAGTCTGAGACTCCTGAGAAGCTTACGCTTTTACAACGTTCAGTAATTACTACGCTAATACGTTTGCCGTGATGCGATTATAAATATTTCACACTTTAAATGTCACGAGGACGTATAAACGCATGTAAACATTGAGGGATGGGTAGTGTTGTTTGTACACATTTAGCGTGGTCAAGCGCGTTATGTAACGAGTTGAGAATTCTGAGAAGCGTGTGTGAGCGTTTGCATAATATTTTTAATTAACATTTAATATATTATAAGAGTGTTGAAGTTTCACTTACTTTAAGAACTTCTTTTCAGGCTGCAGTCAGTTTACTTTGGACGATATGGACTATTATTCAATTATTTATTGTTAAAATAATACGTGTCATAGCATTGTTTTCATTAACGATATTTCTGTTATGCAATCCTTTCTTATTCTATTGTCAATGAAGAATAATACATTTTAATGCCTATTTAAATACCTATTTTAAAATTTAAGTGCGTATTTTTCTGCCTAATTTTACTATTTTAGAGTCAAAAATACGTAACTTAGTAATTACCAACATTCATCACGAACTTTCGAAGATTAGTGACTGCAAAAACGCGCGTTTTGTCGATGGTTGGACGCCGCGTCCTGCGAGGGAAAACGACGCGTCACTGCGTTAAAATGACGCTCGCGTGAACCGGGCCTTAGAATGTCATTTACGACGCTGAAATCCCATTGGCTTAATTATTAAGGTGCGTTCTCTTACAGGTGTTTCGTAATTTGGCTCGTGTGCCTTCTTCCTGTTTCTACATTCAGGTTTCGGCCGTTGATTACTTTATTAGTGTTGGGCACTACAAGTGACATTCACCCTCAAGCACGCTCTTCTGGGTTTATTAAGGATAAGAATCTGAAGGGGAGAAAAACGATGACTCGTGGAATACATGGTACCTTGTGATGCTAGTAGTGATTGCCGGAGTAGGACACAGAATTAGTTTATTACGAAAAAAAAACATTTTATTTTTTTCGTTAGGAATGTATGTAACAACTGTCCATATGATGAGGCTACGAACAAAGCCATAGAAGAAAAACTGAGAAAACTTCAGCTTCCACTAATATTTTAAGATATACATTCAGTTTTTTTAGTATATTTCTCCACAGTCATTCCATTTTTATTATTCGGAACTGAAAGTAATGTACTAGTTCCGAAAATGATTCTACGTTTCTTGGTCAAACATGTATGCAACTTTTTATTTTGTGAGAAAAGTGTTACACTTCGCTCCATTTGGCATTGGAAATGGAAAATATTCTCGTTTAGTTTCCTGATTCATTAGCGTTCACACTTATTTTAAAATGTTATACAAATGTCATCGATGAGATTATGTTGTCAGCATTAGACCTTGTTTTGAAATTCGATTCTACGAACACTTTATCTCTGTTGCTTCTAACGACGATCAATCCAATATTACTGGGAATGCCTCATGTACACAATGACACACACGTCATACAAAAGCAATACTTTTCACAGACTTAAATCAATAGAAACATTTCATGGAAACAAAATACTATTTCTTGCGAAACTGAACTAGTTGGAATGTACGGCATAACGAAACTTTTCCTCATCTTAGTGTTTTGACTCAACCGTTACTCAGATATTTTTTAAAAAAAGCACAATATCAGAACGCAAAATCTTTAAAGATCTACTATTGAATTAAGTTATACCGACAACATCGAAGTCACAATAAATATGGTTGAAAATTATTTGAAAAGTTGTAAAAGAACTGGTTAATGATACGTGACTAGATGCCTTTTCGTTTTCACGTCTACGCAAACCAATTTTATTTTTACAGCCTACAAATTACCGCGAACAAGTGATAGCAAACTCTTTAATGTCTCATCGAAGAGAAAAACAGACTATTTCTTCAAACTCGGTTGCGCGAAATGTTGCGTAAACGTTTCCGTCAAACTACCTTTTAATTTAATTATATTAAATATGAACTTGCCGAAATTCCCCTGAATGAAATCTCTGACTGCGGTACTCTCACAGAGCCGCAACGGAATAAACGACCTGTGCCAGTGAACGCGTTGAAATCTCTACCGTTCAGTCCTCTCTATTTCGCGAACAAGAAGTCTCATCTCTAACACCGTCAATACCGAAACAAAACTGACGCGGCGAAACGCCGGCGGCTCTCTGGCGGCGGCGGCAGCGCACATCCAGAACGAGTATGGACATGGCTACAAATGAAAAGCTAACATAGGCCGGGGGCAGGAGGCACGGCGCGCCCGGGTGGACGAGCAAGCAGCTACGCGGCCGCGTCGGCGAGCGAGGAATATGGACGAGGGGGCGGGGTGAAGTGGAGCGGAGTGAGGCGAATGGGACGAGGCGGGGGAGGCGAGCGGAGCGGAGCGGGGCGGGTGCCGGGCGAGCGGGCGGGGAACAGACGGCCGGCGTATGGAGTTGGCGCGCGGAAGAATAGATGCCGTACTGACATGGTGAACGGAGACGAGTTCAAAGCTATTGGGCACGCCAGACAAATGAATCGCTGGATGCTCAGGCGCTCGTACGGATAGTTAGAAGAGTCAGGTGAACAGAATGCTTAAACAGGTAGGCGAGCGAAAGGTAAGCTGGGTACAGCAAAAACAATTAAAAAAAAGGATAACGTGTTGGAAGAACAAGCGAGTTATAACGTTGCTGGAGTTATCAGGAAGGGAGGAAAAATTGTTTGTCAGATATTTTCGCGCAGGGTGCTATATTAAAGTGCAATTTGAAAAATTAAATTACCCACTCATTGAAGATTCTGCAGATTTCACATTCATCACAAAATACATCAGCGTTCTCTCGAAGGAATGCCACTAATAATGCTGTTATTTGGCTTTTAAAAATTCTCTCATCACTTTGAATTTTCTTCCTTTTTCATTTTATGTCACAAACAACATTCTAATGTTTTCTTCCGTTCTGCAGATATGTTACTCCAATATCAGAACTGGTCTACCTCTTATTCTTTTTAAATGACCGCATCTTTTATTTTTTAATTTTTTGTCATATTTCAAACGCTTCTGTACACGACCTTCTAAATGAAGGATCTGCACGTCTGCTGTCTTTCTTCAATAAAGCATGCTACCTCCCTGGTGTTACAATCACATCTCTATTTCCTTATTTATCTTCTCAAACTCCACCGCACCAACTTCATACGTGTATAATTTAAGAAATCTTTATTCGTGCTAATCAATTAAGGAAGACTTTTATATTTTCTTCAATGATTCAAAGTGTTATTTCTGCTCAAAAAAGCTCATTATGTCTAATACCAATGAGAATTGTAACTGATCTTCGAGTAAAATATTGCTCAGTGCCCACGACGAGAGTGCTTGTCCGGGCGTGGACCCGGCTACACTTGGCGTGACCGGCGTCCGAACGAGCCGAGGCGAAAAAGTCGTATGGTAGAACAGAGTGTGAGCGGATGGACAATGACACGGAAAAGAGAGCGGAGGGGGCGGGGGGCAGCATGCGCTGTTTTTTTTTTTTTCTGTAAGCGGGCGGCTAACAAGATTCACGACCTTGGCGTCGAACGCGCGTGTCGCCAAGCGCGCGCGCGCGCGGTCCTCGCGCCCCCGCCTTTGCCCCACCCCCACCGCCCCCCCGCCCCGCGTTGGGCCAATAAGTAGAAAAGTTCGCCTGCGGCGAGCGCCGAACATGGCGCGCACTATGTTTCGTTCGGCGCCGACAGGCACGTCCCGACACCCGCCCGCGACGCCCTCCATTATTGCCCCCCCCCCCGTCCCCCGGCGCGTCGATTTGGGGCCGCGTGCACTCGTTCGGTGCGGGCGGCGACTGATAGCGCTCCGTGCTTCGCGTTTGTTTCAATGATCTTGATTATTTCATGTTTTAATTTCAGGTGAGCTTAACAAAACCGAGGCAGAATATGATGTCCGATGTTCCAAAGTTATCTTAGAAGCAACTACATACGCCTTTTAGTCGTAATGCATAAATGAAAATTACAGATTGTTGTGAAGTTTTTTTACAATTATCACGCATATTTCTAAGAGCGTTGTTGTTCGCGTTTGTGTCAATTCATGTTTTAATTTAGGGTGAGCTTAACATGACCGAGGCAGCATATGAGGTCCGATGTTCCGAAGTTATCTTAGAGGCAACTATAAACGCCTTTTGATACATAAATGAAAATTACAGGTTGTTGTGAAGTTTGTTACAATTATCACGCATTTTTCTGATAGCGCTGTTGTTCGCATTTGTTTCAATGATCGAATATTTATTTTTGTTTTATTTGAGGGTGGGCATAACAACCGAGGCAATGTCTCATTTTCGATGATTCGAAGTTATCTTAGATACAACATTAAACGCTTTTTGCAGCATAAATGAAAATTACAGATTATTGTTAAGAGGTATTGTGCTTGGTTTCATTTTTCACGTATATTTCTTCTTGTTTTATGTTAGTGGGAGAATAAATAACAGAATTCTAATTATTTGTCATATGAAATGGAAGTGTTTAGTAGACAATAATGTACACCTTTTATTATAATCACAGTTAGTTGCGAAGGGTGCCAAAAATTATTGTGTGATCACGAAATATCATTCATTTGCTGAGTAATGAGGTTTTGCGAAGACCATAGATTTTTACATGCTGCGTCAAGTCCAAAGGCAAATATTATCTGAAGGATGTAGATGTTGATGTGGTGACAAATTTGTTTCTTCTCTTACTGTTAGAGGCCATTGTGCACATCTGATTTGGTTTTCCATATCATTCTAGGATTTTGTGGACTCATCTATCCTGTCTGTAGTAATATTGCAATGTATACCTCCCTTCACTTCGTATCAATGTCAAGAACGTGATTCTACTGCTCAGACCTATAACACTGAAAAACAAATTTTAAAATTGGCGTATATATTGGTATCTAACACTTCTTATAAGAGTGATACATGCTGGTTCAAAATACAAAAAATAATTTGTCCCTGTCACCCACTGTTTTTTAGATACATTACACTTCAACCTTTTATATTTCACTAGAAATATTTTTGTTAAATGGTGTACTAATGAACATGACATTAGCTAACAAAATAGTGGGATTGAATCGCATGACACGCATACTACTTAGTGATATTTCAAGGTATAGTACACACATAAAATCTATACACACTGAAAGTACTTATTCCCAGGTGTATTTGGTTTGAAATTCTTGGCTGTAGATTTGCGTTTGTGCTGAACGTGAAACAAAAAGACATTCATTAAACTGTGGTTAAGGCAGTGTTTTTACTTATCCAAAAACACATTCGTCATCAGAACATTTCTGATTACAACTTTTCTTTGAATATTTCACTTTCTTTGTTTTTACGGGCGAGCGAGAATTTTATTCTTTCGTTGCGAGAAATGGTTGATTTGGTTCATCAGGTGCTGAGGTCAGATTTACTTATACTCACGATCTCAACACCATATCTGGGAGATGATTCACTTCAGAAGTATTCTCATCCCCACTATCTTCGTCCGTGAGAAGTCCATCTTCACAAGCAATGATCGTGATATCTATCAGCTAATCAGTTTTTTCCTCGAAACACTCCAGTATTTCGTACGAAGTCAAGTTGTAAATTAAAAGGAAGGATTTTAGTACGATCTTTCAGTAAGTACACCTCATGATCGTAACTTTAGAAGCACGTCAATGTACGCGAACGATTGTATCGAATATGGTGACACTTAATATTTCTGACGTAACACTGCGTTTGAATGCTTCAAATTCTTGAAATTAATAATATGAATTGTTTAACAGATATTTCAAAAAGAGACAAAAGTAAACAAATGCAAAATATCACTTTTTTAAACGATTTTTCCTCGCCAAGAGCTTCTCGCACAATATCACTTTTGGTTGGAACGGCTGTCAAGTTACTGATAATTTGATAGCGCTACGGAAAGCAATGCAGAGTAAGGGTCTTATCTCATTTCCAGAACTGTATTTAGCAAGCTGCAACGGAAACCTGGGTTAAAAAGAATTGACTGAATTAAGGGAAAGCGAAAATATTATGCGTCACCTGTACGTGCCATTGGGCGTTCACTGATGAAAATTAACAGCATACCAATTGATTTAAAAATTAAGAATATTCTTGGAGGAAAAACAGAGTTCAAAATTCGTTATTTTACCGTTACCATGTTAATTCAAAGAATAACGCATTATTTTTTTTTAAATCCCTTATGCTTCTTCTGAATTCGTGGGAACTTCACATTTAAGAACACAAATACTCAACGTTTCCGTTCCGAGAAATAATTCTATGCCGAAAAACGTTTAAAGCCTCTTGACATCGTCGTTCGCCGAAACCGAGGAAACGTTGAAAGTCGTTTAGCATGATAAAACACCGAGTTCGACGCAATTGTACCTTGCGCCCTCTAAGACCCTCAACCAATCCAGTTCAATTCACTGCACAAATCGCCGAACGCCAACCGAAGCGTGACGTGTCCCGGCGCAAACAGAGTACTTTGATCATCAGCTCATTCAGCAAGCAGGCCTCCCCCCCCTGCGCGGTGGTTGAATAGCCCAGTAAAAAATGTCTCAGGTGTGTCCGAAGAAGCGTAACAGAAAATGGCCGGATTGTCGCGCTTGTCTCCGCGAAGACCCTGGGGGAGACCGGAGAAACGGAGAGTCTCCGTTCCCGCAGCCATTCAACTGCTGTGGCCGCTGTTTGGGGAAGAGGGGAAGGTGGAAGGGGAGAGGTGCGGGATGCGGGGCAGGAAAATGAGCGCGTTCAGGATTGTCTCCTATTCTCCGTCAGGAAAGTCACAACCCACGTGTACTCGGAAGGGCGACGCGGCGCGGCACGGTTCGCGGAGGGCGGGTCGGAGGCGAAGGGCGTTTGAATAGCCCCAAGAGTTCCTCCGGCGGAGGGGTCAGTGTCGTTTTGTGTGAGGGGCGGCGGCGGGCTAGGCAACAAGAGACAAGGGCTCCCCTTCCACCCCCCACCCCACACCTCTCACGACAGGCCGACGAGGGAGGACAGGAATTGGGCGTCGTTAGCTGAAGGGTATTATTAGCGCTACACCTCGGCCGCCAAGGGCCCCTGGGCGAGGGCTGCTGGCCCACGAATTGGCTGCTGCAGGGCTCGTTACGCTCGAGGGTGGGGTGGGGAGGGGCGGGGCGGCGAAGGCTCTCGCCCCTGCCCGGCCCTGCCTCCGGTCGCTGGCCTCTCGTCCGGAAGCGTCCGACAAAGCGACCAAGTCCTTACGAATAGGGTGCGGAGGCCCCAGCGACTTCGGCCAAAAAATTAGGAAATATGCTTGCGTTTATGACCGCTGGTGATAATAATAGTACAAAAACAGATATTACTTTTTACTGATAAAAATCCACGGAATCTTTCGAACTTTACTTTACTTATTTTACGTTTCACTGGCAAATCTTACATGTTGGAGTGTTTAATGATTCACAATGAGAAAGATAGTAGGAAGATACAAATTCGAAGAAACTCCCGCAGCTCGGTCGTACCCGTTTTTGTATTTCCATTTCTCTTTTCATGGAAATACGAAAGCGGATACGATAGTGTTCTGCAAACGCCCATGTGGAAATTCTACTTTGGTACTTTGAGTTCTTGATACTTAAAACAAGTATGCTCGATGATTTCTGAGAAAATATGATTCTAAAATATGACAAATGTAATGCCTAAGTATAATCACGCCTAAGTATAATCATTAAAATTGTAATACGTTAATAAAAAGAAAAACAAAATTATGATTTTTATTGTGTGTTTTCTTTTCAAATATGTTAGTATCCTGCAATATGTGGATTTATTTGTTCAATAAAAACGTTGTTTATTAAAATTGAAGAGCGAGGCTTTTTGACAAACATTTTGAAAGTGATACAAAGTTACAATACGTCAACGGTAACCAACCAAAAATAGCACGATGAAGGTATACATGATGGAATATTTAGAAGAAATGCTTCATAAATATGTTTCAATGTCTTGTAACGAAGTGATAATTTTGGTATTTGGCTGCATTTAAAATTCCCGCTAATATTGTGACGCAAACTGGAGTTAAAAGCTCATTGGTGGAAGTCGGATACGATGCGCAAGACCCCCCCCCTGGATAGGAATATTGAATTTCTTTATGAAGATATCGATAGCGTAAAATCATATACAAGTTCAAATTAAGCGATAGCTGTATTTTTCATTCCTAGCAACCACAACTGAACACTCTTGTTACGTGGCACATGAACGCAAGATCTCGTCGCTCTTAATTCTTTATAAACTGATGCGAAGTAAACGGATTACAATATTGTAAATTTAATATTGACAGCATTTTATACCAACAGGTCATTGTCACAAAAAAGGTGCATTCTGGCCTCCTGTTTTCATGCCAAATAATACGAGACAGGGACTCAAAATGAGGGATTGTACCGGATAATACAGGACGTGTGGTCACGTTACTTAGGAAGCAAGAAGATATCTGCATAGAATAAAACGACACTTCAGCAAAGGCAAGGAGAGACACCGAAAGATTTTATAACTCATTTGTACTTCGACCCTTTTTGCGAAACGGGGCCACAAGCAATGACAGGTTTTACTTGATCATGTCGAAATAGAGGGATCCGGAAAGAACTAGAAATCCAAGAATAACTAATGTAAAAAGTATTTAATAATATTACAAGTAATATTACATTAAATAATATACAATTTAAAAATTAATGACATACAAAGAATACAAAATCTAAAACTAAAATGGAAACCATTCCTATGAATATTCAAGTTTCAGATAAGTTTAGCTAAAATATCTTATTTTAACAGTCTTGCATTTTTGCATCACACACTTAAATTATACTGCGGAACTCTTATGCCTATAGATTCTTTCCAGCTGCAACCTCGCGCTTTGGTTACTTCGTTCAACCTTACACAACCCACCATCGTTTTGTCCTTACTGAGCTAATAAGCTTAAAATATCGTTAACAGAGACTTCACAATAAAAATTATAAAATGGTTAACTCTCTTTATCTTATACATTTTATAACGAGTGTACAAATTAAATATTAGTTGAACTAAAATGGCACAAAGATTAATATAATACGCTACTATTAGTAAAAGATTACATTAACAAAGCAGCACGATTTCTTTGGTTACAATGAACATGGTTGTCATATGTCCGCAACAATTTCTTGCATGTTCATTCGACACATATCCTCTGACGGTTACCCTGGAGAGGGCCGGACTTACCTATAAGACAATAAACGGATGCTTAGGGGCCCCGCGCCCTGGAAAATATCATAAACTATTGGGAAAAATCATAAAATATATTTGTATTTACAATATCACATGGTCATTTCTTCAATTTGTAAGTTTCCATTTTAATTTGTACAAAATGTATTCTATTACAATTAGTGTGATCTTTAGTAAAACTGGAGGATCTTTCTTCTGCCGGGCGACCCCAATTCGATTTTGTACTTGGGATCCCCGTCAGTGTCGTAATGCAAGGCCGGCAATGCGGGCGAGCCAAAGTAAAAGAGGGCCCGTTTTTCTGGATATTATTATTAGTTAAGGCACTAACATTTCTTGTGTTAGGTAACGAAAAACCGACTAGAAGCCGACAGTTCAAAGAGACCCCGCAAGTGGTCAGGCGAACGTAAATGAAAACCTAATGAGACGTGTTAGCTTTACACTTTTATAAAGGGGGCCCGGATAATTTTTTTGCGAGCGGACCTGCACTCATTTCCTTACGCCACTGGTCCCCGTGCTACCTGACGCCGGCCCTGACCGTGGATGTCCGGCTTGGCTTGTACTCTCCGAGGCGGAGCTCCGCGCCTTGCGAATGCTTAAACGGAGTAGTCCCCCGTTGCGTCGTTCCCGGGCGGCCTTGGCCGGCCTGGCGGTGCTACTTGCGGAGCCAGGCTGACCCGCGGGGTAGCACCGCAGGGCCTGCAGGGTCATGGTCCGTCTGGGGCCTGCAGGAGGCGGAGGCCTCTGGTTCCGCACGTAGGGCGGCAGGACACGGAGCTCCGGAGCTTGTTGCGGACCGCACCTAGGCGGAGGCCTGGGTCTCGTTAAACCTGGTCAGCGAATGGGCTCAGTGTACGTCATATAAATAAAATATGAATGTTGTATAAATGGAAAAGAAAAATTATCGATTATTTATTAAAAATATCATTTCGAACAACCATGATTAATAAGAAACGAAATTGTTCAAATAAGATATGACATAGTGCCTATCGTTAAATTTACATTATTAGATTTAAGCTAGAATTAAGTTGGTTGTAGTTAATATATCTAGTACCTACAAAAATGAAATTGGAGTGTTGGCTTCTGATTTTAAAATATCTCTTTTTTAATCCAAACAGTTATTTACATATATGAATGGAATTGAATGTTTGGTTTTTATATTTTGATATAATACATGAATAAATGGTTTTTATATTTTTTTCCGTGTATCTCTAATTGTCAACCATTAATTAGGCAATTGGAAATTTATAAAACGGGATGCTTTTCTAATAGTTCATAGGAATTTATTTTGGAAAATCTGGAGTGCGTTCATGCACTTCAGCTCGGGAGTACGCAAATGTATCTGCAGTTTCACACAGCAAAGTTCGTAGTTGATGGCAAGACGCGGCGAAATGTGACGTGACGTTACGTGACATGACGTCGGGTGGCGTAGAGTGGCTTAGAGTAGCGTGGAGTGGAGTGGGAGACGTTGCGTGAGTAGGATAGTGTGGCGTAGAGTGGCTTAGCATGGCGTGGAATAAGAGTCGTTGCGTGGCGTAAGTTGGTTTAGCGTGGCGTGGAGTGGGAAGCGTTGTGTAGCATAGGATTGTGTGACGTAGTTCGCTTAGCGTGGGGTAGAGTGGAAGGCGTTTGTGGTGACAATTGTTTTTCTTTCCTGCTTCGTTTCATTCCCAATTCAATAGGACATGAATCGTCTGCTTACAGATCCAAATTAATCTATTATCAATAGCAATAGCTTTCTGGTAATAGTGTTTCACTGAATTTGATACGCACGAGGCAGACAATAAATCTATAAGGCTTCAATATTTTGAATTCCTCCACACGCTGCACAATTTCTTGGAAATGGTCCAATTTGTTGCAGTGGTAACACTCCGATCAGTCTAGATGTCCGTAGAGATGGGAATGCCTATAGCGTGGCAGTTGTGGTATGACTTAGGGTTGGTAACACGGTTGTTTGAAAAAACTTCCATATGTATGATTAGTAGAAGGAAGCTGGAGACGGAGTATGTGTTTGAGACGGACGTATTGTTTGAATATACACGTGCGGAGAGCCCCCACCGAGGGGATTAAGTGAGTTTACAGTTTGAATAGCAGACGCATCATTCCTGGCCATTAGCGGATGTCCGTGCCTATTTTGCTTTGCCTCTGACGCTGAACACGCTCTCATCTAGGCGTAAGAATCCTTGCTCCTTTTCAGAACCTGGACGTCTATCCCACGCTCTTTACAGCTCAGATCGCGACTTACTTAAGTTTCGTTATGACATCGGAAGGAGTTTAGTAGCACCGGATTTGTTACCGTGGGAGAGTTAGCACGTTTGTAACGTCGCCACTTTATTTAATACGACTGACGGGACTAATGTTAGATCTGTATCGACAAACCTGACATGTAAGGAACTACCTAAGCTTCACTTCGTATCACAAGACTGTAAGGTTACCTTTACATCAATCTGTTCAAAAACATCAGTATAAATATGCGACGTCTTATCTCTGCGTTTAATTAATTTTATTTGGGTTTAGTGCGCAAAGAATACCGCATTCACCCTAAAGCACTTGCAGAATTCTGAGATCCTAACATCGCATGATTTTTTTGAGCATGAGGCCAAGGCGGCATAAATGTGCTAAAACTCCCTAATAGCTTTTTAAACACAAACAGACATCTTCCACTTACGTTGCACTGTGGAACCTTCAACCCAGCGGTCAGTCAAGTCTTCGTGAGAAGGAACGGGCGGGCGGGTAAGCGGCAAGCAGTGAGTGGCGACTTGTAGTAGCTCAGCCAGCCACTTTAGGTTCGGACGATCGTTCCCGCACGCGATCCCTCGCAGTGTAGGTCCAGTCGTGTCCCTCCGCAAGGTCAGGGCAACACTGCGAGTGGACCGCCGAGAAACGCCGCTAGAGTCCATGCGCTCCTCGGCCAGGGCCTGCCATCTGGCGCCGCCCCGCTGCGCACCCTGACGGAAGGGAAAGCGAGCGAGCGACCCCCTTCAGCGGCCA